CAGAGCCTGACGCGGGGCTCGAACTCACGGACCGCGAGATCGTGACCTGGCTGAAGTCGGACGCTTAACCGACTGCGCCACCCAGGCGCCCCACCGTTGATTTCTTAAAAAGCATTGAGCACGTCGATTTCACGCAGGATTTCTGCCACGTGGACCATTTCCAGAGTTGGGTTGTGTGGCAGGACTAATGTGAGCACAAGCCAGCCAGGCCAGGTGACTGCCCGGAGGGCCTTTGGGGGCCCTTGTGATCCTGAGACTGTCCCCAGAGTGGCCTGTGAGGCCCCTTGTCCTAGGGAACTAAAACTGAGCACACCAGCAGCTTATTTTTTGAGGCCATCTGGTTGTGGTCAGTAGTCCAAGGACGTTTTGTCCTTAGTGGGAAGAGCTGCCCCGTGGGGTCAATGAGGTGCAGAAGGTGAAAATGGACAGGGTCTCCTGGAAGAGCCCTCTGGGAGGTGCCGGAAGCTCCAGCTGGGCCATCCTGACTCCTGACTGAGGAGCGGCTTTGCCAGCGCGGCATCCTTTCAGACGCGCAGCTGCTGCTGCTGCTGTTGCTGCTTGGCCAGACGAGTATGTGACAGTTTTGACTCCACATGTTTTCTTCTGGGCCCGCTAAATAGCATTTATCTTTATGTTTGGTATTTAGTTTTGAGATTTGCCTGTCTCTGTTTCTCCTGGAGCCGGATCGGGACTCCACACGGCAAGAGTCACCAGACGTGGGCGTGGGCACTGGTGATGGTGAAGGAGAGGTGTCCCTTCAGCGTGTAGTTGCCGTGTTTACTCCTTACCGTGTATGGGCACATTCCTGTAAGCTAGACGCGTAAAGATTGTGGGAAGGAGTCCACAGTTTGTATAAAAGCTGAGCTTTTTGTTGTAAACCTTGTAAATTCAGATCAGGCTAAACAGGCCGTATTTAATTGTATGGTAAGAGCTTTAACAGCGACCCAAGGAGCTGACTCTGGCCTCTCCAGGGAAGGTGTCTCCCGCTGCCGTGACTGACTTGCCTCTTTCCGTCTGTTTTCTCTTGGTCTCAACTTTTGCCTCTTTGGAAATAAGAGGCAGTTCTTTTTATATCACCCGTGTAAGTGTTGAAATTAGAGATTGTTTATAACGGGCTTGCTTTGAAACTAAAGGACTTTTTTCCTTTTTGAAAAAGTTGAATTTTTTTTTTTTATTATCGAAAATTTCCAGTACGAGAATGCAGAAAAATTTGTCTTAAGTTTTGAGAATGAAATGCAGCAAAGGATATTTTTGGACATGTATTTTTTTCGGCATGTTGAAACTCTTAAGATTAGAGTTCAAAACAGAGTAATAATTAGGTTCCAGGACCCAGGGAGACACATGGGAAAGCCACGGCTCCTCCTCGGGTGTGTAAAATTGCCTCCTGTCTCCTGCTCTCCTTCGGGCTGGGTTTGCCGCTCTAGCTTCATCTCGTGCTCTCTGATGGCAGCTTTGATCTGGTTTAGCTCCCAGTGCAGCCAGTGCCTGTAACTGTAACTTTGTAGACCAGCTAACTAATCGGGTTTAGGATTCGTGCAGAATTTGTGTTGCAAAGATGTCATCTGATGCTGCGTTTGACCTCTGAATGCTCCCCTCCAGCAGCTGGTCAGGCCTTTTATTGCTACAGGAGCTTCATGGTCAAGAGGCGTCGAGGCCAGATGCAGGCCTTGGGTAGGACAGCCGTGGTCAGCGCCCAGCTAGCATTGTCTCCTGCCCGGCTTGCTTGCCCATGGCTCCCACACCTGTCTGTCTGTTCCTCAAATGCGTCTTTTTCCTGGTCCTCCTACACCTGTCCTCTTTCTCGTGATCTAGCCGACCATCTTAGGGAAATGAAGCAAATCTAACATGTTTGAGTGCTTACGGTTTGGGTTTTGTGATCTTAATTTTAAAGGCAGGTGACATGAACTTGAAACGTTTTCAGTTTCTGAGTGTAGTTAAGAAAATAATGGTTAACGCACACAGCTTATGGCGTGCTACGCACAGTCCTAAGCATTTACGGATCTGAACGGCTGGTGTCTCCCAAGCGCCCTGTGAGGTATTTCATGCGGTCGGGGACACTCAGTCGTAAGAGGCATTGCTGTTTGCTCTCCGAGCCCGTGGGTTTTCTAGCCTCCTGGCGTACACGGCTGTTTTACATAGAGAGTACCGGGTGCTAGTTGTTCGTTTTGTCTTAAACTGGACATGGGGAAAGTGCCTGCTAATGGGTTCGCGTTGGGGGTGGGTCAGGGAAGGCTACTGCGGGTGTTTCCTACCCCACTTTCCTAGAGAGAGGCCGTCTTTGGTTAGCATTCTGCATTCTTCAAGTCTTTAAAATGTTGATTTAAGTAAAATCTTGCTTTATTTCCAGAAATGAATGGACATATCAGACAGGGGGAACATGAAGAGTTAAAATCTTCCTAATGTTTTCAAGTTTAAGTTTTGAGTTAACCCAGGGCCAGGATTTCTTTCATTCACAGTGGAACCATTTAGAGGATTCATTTTTTTATAGGGAAGTCGTTCAGTGTGGTAAACTAGCATATTAATGTTCTGCCTTCATCAGAAAAAAGTCATTGGTCCAATCTTCCACCCATACAGAACTGCTGGGGGACATTCTCAAGGACCGGCCTCAGGAGGCGGATGGGATTGACTCGGTGATCGTGGTTGACAATGTTCCTCAGGTGGGGCCCGACCGGCTGGAGAAGCTCAAAAACGTCATCCATAAAATCTTTTCCAAGTTTGGGAAAATCACAAACGATTTTTATCCAGAGGAGGATGGAAAGACAAAAGGGTGAGTGATGTTCCCCGCGGTCTTGGTCCCTGATGCCCTGTGGCTGTCGTCGGGCGGTATGGGAGTCGCTGTGGACACACAGGTGCACGCCTCACCTGGTGGTTCTGCCCCAGCCACTCTCGGCTGGGGTCTCTACACAGAGAGAAGGAGATCCGCGTGGTTCTTGAGTTTGGATGTTGTGGGTTGCTTGCTAAATTCTTAAGAAATCGGAGCTTCGCGGGGCACCTGGGTGGCTCAGTCGGTTAAGCATCTGACTCTTAATCTCCGCTCGGGTCATGATCTTACGGTTTCATGAGTTTGAGCCCCACAGTGCAGAGCCTGCTTGGGATTCTCTCTCCTCTGTGTCTCCCCCTCCCTCCCCCTCCCTCTCAAAATAAATAAACATTAGGGGTGCCTGGGTCTCTCAGTGCGTTAAACGGCCAACTTCATTTCAGGTCATGATCTCGCCATTCGTGTGTTCGAGCCCCACATCAGGCTCAGTGCTGACAGCTCAGAGCCTGGATCCTGCTTCCGATTCTGTGTCTCTGCCGCTCCCCTGCTCGTGCTCTGTCTCTTTCTGCAAAGTTAAAACATTTTTAAAAATTTATAAAAAAAATTTTTTTTAAGAATCCGGGATTTAAGTCTTCTGCCATCAGAACGATAATTGACGTGATCCATCCTGGATGAAGGGCCCGACAGATAGGAGGCTGGCAGGATTTCAGGACAATTTGACATGCGGTGTTCTGTTGATTCTAAGATGAGCTTTTTTTTTTTTCTTTCACGTGGTAACGTCTCTGAAATGGGGTTACTTCTAACAGTGTAGGTGAAAGCCTTGTGCCACTGCTTAATTAGCAGCTTTTTTTCCCCCCAACTGTTGCTTAAAATAGTGCATCTTTTAAAAACGGTAGCATATGGTATGTGTCCTGGAGTTTGCTTTTCAAACTCAATACGAGGTTTTCTGTGTCAGAAAACCTTTCGTGTCAGACCTTCTCTGTTAAAATTTCACATGATACTGGTCTTGGAGAGTGTAGGCAAATTGTCTTTTACAGGACAGGAACGTGAAGAGTGAAGATACTGTGTTTTTTAATTCCGGTAGTTTTGAAGCTATCTTGGATAGTTTCATTTTTACTTTTACTTTATTTTTTAATTTTTTTAAATCTTGGGTAGTTTTTTTTTTATTTTTCTTAACATTTATTTATTTTTGAGAGAGAGAGAGAAAGAGAGTGACAGACCATGAGCAGGGGAGGGGCAAAGAGAGAGGGAGACACGGAATCCGAAGCAGCTCCAGGCTCCGAGCTGTCAGCACAGAGCCCGACAAGGGGCTCGAACATGCGAACCGGAGATCATGACCCGAGCTGAAGTCAGATGCTCAGCCGACAGAGCCAGCCGGGCACCCCTAGCTTGGATAGTTTTAAAGAAATTGTTTTTTTTAAGAAAGTGGGTAATGCTCCTCACGCTGTTTCCTTCAGAAACTAGGTGGAATAACAACCCTTGTGACCCCCTGCTTGCTTGTATTGTAGGTGTTAAAATGAAGCATTCTCTGAAAGTCTTTATCATTTTGCTTTTAATACACTGTATCAGACTAATCCCGTTCTTGGATTTTTCCCTAGCTTTACTGAGAAAGTTGACGTACAATAGACTTGTATAGTCTCAAAGTGGGTCACGTCATAAGTTCTGACACATGTACATTTGTGAAACCCTTTCCACAGTCAAGCTAGTGAACGTTTTGATTCATCGTTTTCTGATTTGTGATTGTGGCGTTAGACTTTGGATCTCCCATTAGGGTTTTGTTTGCGTTTAAGGAACCACCGCCGGCAGCTTGACCCTCGGGGATGTGGCGGTAGACGGGGCATTGGCCTTGACGGCATTTACTGGTCGGGTGGACGGGTGCTCGTAAGTGGCACACGGCCCACCCGGTCTTACAGGCCGCGCTCCTGCAAGATGTTCTGTCCTGATTCAGGTATACGTTCCTGGAATACGCCTCCCCTGCCCATGCCTTGGACGCCGTGAAAAATGCAGACGGCTACAAGCTGGACAAGCAGCACACATTCAGGGTCAATCTCTTCACTGACTTTGACAAGTAAGTCCTGGCTCCACAGGCGTGAGTGGCTCAGCGGGTCTGGGGTGGTGCCATCAGCCTTTCGGGGAGCTCCGTTCTCCGGGCACGTCCCGACCCCTGATGTTCCTGGCCGGTAGCACCCCTCGCCCACTATCACGCGGTGGGGGGCAGGGGCACACACCGCCTGCTGCTGAGAGCCGCCCACGGAGTCGCCACCCTGTTCCCTCCCCCCTTGTAGTTGTGCCACGTGTTCCTAAAGGGCAGCTCCTCTGTTGCAGGTATATGACGATCAGCGACGAATGGGATATTCCAGAGAAACAGCCCTTCAAAGACTTGGTACTTGGGTGCACTCCGCCCGCGATTGGGAAGAGCAGGGGTGGCTTCCCGGCCGAGTCGGTCCCACCTCCGGGAGCACTAGTTGGGGGCCAGCTCCGATCACGGTCGATGAGACGTGTTCTGTCCCTTGCCTTGGGTTCCTTCTCTAGGGAAACTTGCGTTACTGGCTCGAGGAGGCAGAGTGCAGAGACCAGTACAGTGTCATCTTTGAGAGTGGGGACCGTACTTCTATCTTCTGGAACGACGTGAAGGACCCTGTCTCCATCGAGGAGAGAGCGGTAAGTAAGCGTGGCCACCCCGCGGGGCCTCCCTCTGTGTTTCCTTAGCGGGGAGCTGGGGGCCAGAGCGGGTGGACGTCCTCTTCTCCGAGATCACCCCTCGCCACGACATCCTCCGCTCTTGTGGTTTTGGAATGAGCCCCGAGACGTGAGCGGGCGTCTCGTGTTTTTCAGTGAAGAGTCCGAGGAGTAAATCCTCGTGGCAGCGGGAGGCTCTGTGCCGGCTCTCCGCGCTGGTGTTAACACGGACCCTGACTTTTCCCACAGAGATGGACAGAGACCTACGTGCGCTGGTCCCCCAAGGGCACCTACCTGGCCACGTTCCACCAGCGAGGCATAGCTCTCTGGGGGGGAGAGAAGTTCAAACAGATCCAGAGATTCAGCCACCAGGGGGTTCAGCTCATTGACTTCTCGCCTTGTGAGAGGTAAGCGATGCACCCTCGCTTTGTGCCGGCCGCTGCAGGTTACCGTAAAACGTACTTTGCAGCAATTCCAGACTTGGCGGAAGTGTTGCAGCAGGGAACTTCCTGGGAGGCGTTTGCTGGTGTCCGCTGTGTCATTTGTGCACGCGGACACACCTGACTTTCTCCAGAGCCACTGGGAGTGAGTTGATGTGTCCCTTTCTAGGGGTAGGGAATTCTCTTAGCTGAGTGTCCCCAGTGGCGCTGCAACCTTCTGGAAATGTAGTGTTGATCTGCTACTTTCAGTGAAGTCCTGCTGTGTTCCGATTTCTTCCAGTAATGTTCTTTGTAAAACTTGAGTCCCTTCGGTTTAGGATCTTGCCCTAAAGGCTGGGTACCGTGCCTGGAATTTTCTTATGAACGGCGTTTCCTCATGTGGGAGATGGCAGAGGGCTGCGGGACCAGGTGGGGCGCCGGCAGCTTCACGGGCTCCGCTCCCGCAGCCTGGCCTCCATGTCCGTCCAGGGCTTTGCTGCCCAGAATGCCCCCCGCTCTCCTGCCTTGTGCCCCTGCTCGGGGCTGTCCCCGGGCCTTACCTGTGGTGTCCCCTCTTCTTACCGCATGGTCTGAGTGCATTGTGGATTCACGACGGTTCCTGGTGTCCCAGGGCTCCTGAGACGTGGCTCTGTGTTACCTGGTTTGCTTTCTGAGTTTTTTTGGTAGAAGATTTTCCTCACGCCTGGAAAACTAACGTGAATACTTCGGTAGCATCCCTGTGCTAATTCTCTAGCTTTAACGATTTATGACTTTGCTGTACCTGTTTCAAATTTATTTTCGCTATTGGGGCACCTGGGTGGCTCAGTCGTTTGAGCGTCTGACTCTGGGTTTCAGCTCAGGTCCCGATCTCACAGTTCCTGAGTTTGAGCCCTGCATCGGGCCCTGCGCTGACAGTGTGGAGCCTGCTTGAGATTGTCTCTCTCCACCTCTCTCTGCCTCTTTCCCACTGACTCGTGCGCGTGCGCTCTTTCTCTCTTTCTCTTTCTCAAAATAAAACGTTTGAAAAACAAAAAAGAGATCTTGAGCGTTTTGAAGAAATGCTGGTGTTTTTACGGAAGTGCGTCAGTCCAGATAAAGGTGTCCTTCCCTGGTGATCGTGGCTCTTCTCTCCCACCTGGAGCGCCGACGTGTCCCTAGCTGCTGCTGCTGCCCTGCGTACTGCGGTTTCCCCCTTGGTCTCCCCCATCGCTGTCGTTTGCAGCTTGTTGTTCAAACCAGGGGCAGGGCCTGTGTGTTCAGCCCTCCTGCCGCCCCGGCCCGTTACCCTGCCCTCAAGCCCTCCCTGTGCTGTCCTTTGATGGTGGCCCCTGAGGAAGATGGGGCCGGGTGGATGTGTCTCTTGACTGGCTTGAGCTGTCCCGTCACCGGTCCCCTCCACCTTGGTGTTTCCCGTAAACGGAAGTTTCTACGTGATGTTTCTTACATCTGGTAAGATAGGTTTACGGAGCGTGTTCTTGGAGGACTCAAGATTCACAACCGCTTTGCATCTGTTTGGTACATAACACTTGACGTTGTATTGGCAGTGGTGCACGCGGGGACCCCTGGTCGCGCGCCGCATGGCGTGTTCGTGGAGGAGCCGCCCCGGTCCGGCCGGCGGTGGGTTCCACCTGCCTTCTAGACTTCCCCTATCTGCTTGTGGTTTATGTGTGTAGACACACGTGTCTGTCTGCTCGGGGACCGGACCTGGACCGTCCCTTACTCATCGCTGTATCTCTGGTGCTCCGCAAAGCGCGTGACACGTGAGACGCTCACAGGAGTCGGCGAGTGCACGCTTCAGCCCTCCGGGGTGTTTTTCAGTTCAGTGCTCCATAGTTCACTCCGCAGTTCAGTTCAACTTCCGTAGTTCAGCGTGACGGTCACACCGCCTTGTAGGTGTGTGGAGTGGGTCTGTAGAGGGAACCTCATGGCTCGTAGGGAGTGACTGCAGCCTGGCGTCAGCGTCTTGAGTGCCAGGAGGCTCTCCTGGGCGGGGCCTGTTGCTGTCATTCCTCGTTGAGTGTTTCTGCCTTTCCTGGGTCCTGTGAGGGAGCAGTCTATTTAGATACTTGCACTGTGTGTAAGCAGGGTGAGGCGGTGCCCTGGGTGTAGACGAGCCCGCTGTTGGGTGAGTGAGAAGCCCCAGGCGCAGAAGTGGTGTTAGAAGTGTGCTTGCTTTTGAAACACGTGGCTGGCTGTTGAGGTCCCCTCCTCGTCCCAGGCAGACCTCGACAAGGAGCACGGGGAACGGCACCCCGCCCCTCCCGGAGCGCACACGCGGGCTTCGGTCTGGGATCTGCTGCGTCTTTTCTTGTCCTGATTCTGTGGGGAAACACGTGGCCTGGTCCAGGAGGGACTGTGTGCCTTGTGCCCCGGAGGGGGTCAGCTCCGGGGTTTGGAGCGAGTACTGGTGGCAGGAGCCCCGACTGCATCGTCTGGAAGTCTCACCATGCCTCGAGCTACCTGGAGCGGAGGCCCGTTGGGTGCAGATGCTCACCTCATCCGCCCACAGCCTGGCGCTCCAGGGCGAATGGTGGGACGGTGGCGGGGGTTCTAAACCGGGTCTGCTCTGTTACAGGTACCTGGTGACTTTCAGCCCCCTGATGGACACTCAGGACGATCCTCAAGCCATCATCATCTGGGACATCCTGACCGGGCAGAAGAAGAGGGGCTTCCACTGTGAAAGCTCAGCCCATTGGCCCATTTTTAAGTGAGTAAATGAGGGGTAGTCAGCGGCCACCTCGTCGTGGCCATTTCTCCTGACGGAGCCCGGTACTTCTGTCCTTCTTTTTAGGTGGAGCCACGATGGTAAATTCTTTGCCAGAATGACACTCGACACGCTTAGCATCTATGAAACTCCCGTAAGTAGCATAGTTTCCTCAGCGGTGGCCTGCTCCGTCGGGAGCTGCTGGGGGCGCCTGTTTCCCTGTGTCACGGGTTGGGGGGACGGAGAGAGCAGCTGTCCTTATGCAGAATCGGGGGGGAGCTGGGGGCGCCTTTCCCGTCCTGTCCCTGGGGGTCTCCCTGCTGGTGCTGCTGCCAGGAGTCTGGGACGGGAGTAAAGAGAAGGGGCCTCGGAGATGGGTGCCTCGCTGCTGTCGGTGGATCGGTTTGTTACGTGCCCCCCGCCGGGTTTATGCCAGGCTCATTCCAGAACCTCGTTTGCTTTCTCTGAAAATTTGCTTGTGTCACGGAGACCACAGTGTGATTTGACTCCGTTGTGACCCTCATTTTTCCACAGTCTATGGGTCTTTTGGACAAGAAGAGTTTGAAGATCTCTGGTATAAAGTAAGTGACCATGCTCACCAGGTGGGGCTTAGCCAGCTCCCCCCTTTGGCCCCGCGCGCTCACGCAGCGGGAGGAGGCGGCATGGACTTGGTCTGGAGACGGCAGGCTCTTGGCTATCACCCACGGGCCTGCTTGTTGGTGCGGGCCTCACGGCCACTCTCCCTCCTTATGCCCGGCGACCCTTTGGGGGGTGGGGGTGGGCGGCGCAGGCTTGGCTCTAGCCAGGCGTCCTGTCCCTGCCTTGGAGCTGGAGCCTCGGGCTGTAGTCTTCGAGGGAGACGGGCTGGAGGGGGCTGGAAAGGGTTTCTGTGCGCTCTGTGGTCCATGCAGCGGTTAGATGGCCTTCGGCGAGCTGCCCGGGAGGCACGTGTGTGTGTGCGCGCGAGCGTTCTGGGGGCGGCCCGTGTGCGGAGGAGCACCTGTGGTGTGGGGACGTGAACGCTCTCGGGCACAGCTGTGGCTCATGATAAAAACTAAACCGGGAATCGATTCTACGCAAACAAACAGTAATGGTAGACTCTGTGGGTCTGAGCTGGCGAATCGTGTGGGCGCCTGGCCTGGAGGTGCCTGCGCGGCGGGGGGCATCGTGCTCTCGCTTTGGGGTCATCCCGCGCCCTCTGGGTGGGTTTCCCTTCAGCCCCGTAGTGAGTCTCGGGCGTCACTCGGGGTCCGGAGACCGCAGCTCCCCCCTCGCCCTGCAGCCGCGAGCTGTGGTAGCCGAGGGCCAGGTCGGGGCTCAGGGGCGTCTGCCGCGTGGCGGCCGGGAGCCTCACCAGCGTCTCTCCCCGCTGGCACAGCGAGTGCAGTGACGCTCCGGGTGGCAGGGGACCAGCTCTCGGGGAGGGCGGGCTGCCGCCCTGGAGGGTGAGCCCGTGTCCGCCGCGCTTCCTTCCTGTCGGCGGCCTGCCGGTCCTTGGGCAACACCGGCTTTCTTCGTTCTGCAGAGACTTCTCTTGGTCTCCCGGTGGGAACATCATAGCTTTTTGGGTGCCTGAAGACAAAGACATCCCGGCCAGGGTGACCTTGATGCAGCTTCCTACCAGACAGGAGATCAGGGTCAGGAATCTCTTCAATGTGGTGGATTGCAAGCTACATTGGCAAAAAAACGGAGATTACTTGTGCGTTAAAGTGGACAGGACCCCGAAAGGTACCCAGGTGAGTGGACGCCCCGAGCAGAGGCCGTGCCTTGCAGCTCCAAGCCGGCCCTCCCCCCGCCCCGCTGAAGCTGCTGACACGGTCTCTGTCCGAGCCCGTGGGTCACTCTCAGACCCCCCAGTTAGAGGCAGTGGTTAGCGGGCGTGTCCTCGCTAGAGCTCTTGTTGCCTTGCCACTGAGGTGCAGGAGACCTGTGGGCACAGTTTACAGGTCACGGGGATGCAGTGTTGTCTCCGGGCACCGGCCTGCCTTCTCAGGAGATGGGAAGCCAGTGTGTCCTCTCCGTTTCTTTCTCAAGCACAAAGAGGAGCATGCTGGGCGCAGTTCTGCTCCCCGATTGGTTTTATTTGCATCATTTATGAGTTCTTCGTCCCGACGGGAGCGTTTCTGCTCCTCTTTACGGAACAGCCTGGAGACTGAGTCCCTGCACTGTAGCGCTCACCCTCGAAACGCACAGTTAGTGGATTTTTGGTACATTCACTGACTCATGTGGCCGTCGCCACGGTCAGAACTTGAGAGCATTTCTATTACCCACAAAGGCAAGGAACTCCGCACCCATCGGCACCACTGCCCTCTCTGGCGCGCTCCTGTACCCGCCGCTCTGCCTTCTCTCCGTCTGGATCCGCCAGCCCGGGACGCTTGCTGGGAAAGAAGTCCTGCAGCATGTGGCCTTCGTGGCTGGCGGCCCTCACTGAGCACGTCCAGGCTTATCTGGGTCATGGCAGGTGTCGGTGCCTCCCGCCTGCTCAGGGCCAAGGGACGCGGCTGCCTTTATGTGCATTCATCTGTGGTGGGCACTTGTTTCCATCTTGGCTGTTGGGAATCAGCACCCGGGTCTCTGCGCGGGAGTGCCTCGGGGACGCTGCAGGAGCATTGCGCTGTTTCCAGATAGTTCATTCCTGCCCCGTTGGTGGGTATCGGCACTGTGAGAGTTCTGCAGACAGGCTACTGCCCGTGCAGAGCCCTTTCCGTGCAGGGGCATGACCTTGTGCATGCAGGCCCGCTCCTTGCAGGGGCGTGACCCTGGGGCAGCTCTCCAAAGCAGAACGTGGGCCAGAGAGGGAGTCGGCTGTCCCCTGCAGGGACCGCGCCCGTGCACTTCCATCGGTGCCGTCGTGACGGTTGCACTTTTAGTCACTTGACGTGTCTGTGTGTCCCAGCTGTGTACATTTCGTTGGTCGCCAGGTTGACTTGTTCTTGACTTAAGCGTTTCTCAAGTTTTCAGTTTCTGTGAGTTCATCCCCTTTTTTTCTCCTGAACAGGGCGTCGTCACGAATTTTGAAATTTTCCGAATGAGGGAAAAACAGGTGCCTGTCGACGTGGTGGAAATGAAAGGCAAGTTCCGTTGTTCCTTCGTGAGCGAGTGGCCCTCGCGTGCAGCCCCCGCTCGGCCTTGGCCCTCGCGTGCAGCCCCCGCTCGGCCTCGGCGCTCCCCAGGCTCCCTACCTGAGCAGGGTACTCACAACCCTGATTGGTACGTGCTGTCGGCCTGCGAGCCCGCCCGTTTAGGGTTCCTTTGGCCCTTTCTGGCCTCGGTCCCCACTTCTGGCTGCCATGAGAGTATGGCCCGGTCGCTCTGCACATCCACCCCGGCCGGTTTCCCGCTGAGAGGCTGTGCCGGGAATGGGTTTTCATGACACTCTGAGCGCCCAGCAGCAGGAGGGTCATCCGCTGGCAGCCGCAAGTTGTTGGCTGACTGGGGCTCTTTTCTGGGCCTGTGAAAGCCGCTCAGATCCCCCGTTTCTGCCTCTAGATGGGAAACGTAGCCTGTGTCGTTGGTCGTGTGTGGTGTTCTACTTTTGTTCTCTGTTTTGCTGCGGAGAGGAGGAGAAGGGGGCGGGGAGCACAGAATGAGAACGTGGGTACAGGCTCACCACCCTGCCTTGTTAGCCCTTGGGGGGCCGTGGAGTCCCCCCTCCCCCCGTGAGCGCTCCAGCAAGCGGGAGTCCACGGGTTGTGCTGGGCGTCGGGCCCAGGCCCCGCTGTGGTGGGCATCTACGGAGGTGGCGGTCCCACGTGGCCAGAGTCTCCCATGAGTCGCTCACACGCTCGTCCTTAGGCCTGGCGGGTGGTCCTTTTAGTGAGTTTAAGGATTTGGGGTGTTTCTCTGGTTGAACAGCAAAGACTGTGCAGGAATGTTGCCTGATCGGGAGCGTTGCTTTATTACATGACCTGAGGGGCTTATTCTTTTTCCTGACTCTAGAAACCATCATAGCTTTTGCCTGGGAACCCAACGGGAGCAAGTTCGCAGTGCTGCACGGGGAGGCTCCTCGGATATCTGTTTCCTTCTACCACGTGAAGAACAATGGGAAGATTGAACTTATCAGTGAGTAGCCTCCCCCTTGGC